TGGATCCAGGAGGACACCCAGATTGCGTACCCTCTCTGAGGGAGCCAAAGTTTCGCCCCCTATAGTCAGCGACGGAGTCAGCTGACTATGCCTGGGAGCCGGCAACCACAGCCACTCAGTCTTGGAAGGGTTGAGTCTGAGTCTGTTTCTCCCCATCCAGACCCGTACGGCCTCCAGGCACTGGGCCATCACATCAAGGGCATCATTGGGGTGGCCTGGGGTGGAAATGTACAGCTGAGTATCATCAGCGTACTGATGGAAATCCACCCCAAAGCCACGGATGATCTCACCCAGCGGCTTCACATAAATATTGAACAATAGGGGGGAGAGGACCGACCCTTGTGGCACCCCACAAGTTAGGGACCTTGGGCTCGACCTCTGTCCCCCTGCCAATACAGACTGCGTGCGGTCGGTGAGGAAGGAGGAGAACCACCGCATAACGGTGCCTCCCACTCCCAACCCCACCAGGCGCCGCAGCATGATACCGTGGTCCACAGTATCAAAAGCCGCTGAGAGGAAGGAAGGAAGGAAGGAAGGAAGGAAGGAAGGAAGGAAGGAAGGATTGATCGGAAGGCACCGCTTCTCCCCTCCGGGCCCGGCTGGCTGGCCTCCGATGCACATGCTGGCATTGCCGCCACCTTGCCCTCTTGCCCACTGCCTGGCCGCTTCCGAGGCCCGGAGCCTGGCGAGACGAGAACGAGCCGCTCCTGCCCGCCAGTCCCAGGGCCGCACCGGGCACCAGAGGGCCGAGGCGGCCTCCGACAGCGAGGGAGGTGGGCCGGGCGGCATGGGGGAGGCTCCGGCATGGCGTGGAGGGGGGTCAGGGACGGAGCGCGGCCGGGCAACCAGGAGGCGTGGGGACTGGCTTGGCGCCGCAGCTCAGCTCAGCCAGCAGCAGTAGTGTGTTGCCAGAGCAGGGCGGGAAGAGAGGGAGTGGTGGTGGCAAGTCATGAAAGCAGCGTCCACATGTTCAGGGTGCAAACGCCTTGGATGGTTTGGCTTCCCACCCCTTTATTTACTGATCTGCCACAAGTTCGTGGAAACAAGCCCCGAGGAGTTCTGAACGAGCGGTCGTTTAAAAAAAAAAGCTTTAAGCAATGAGGCAGAAAGGGGAACTCGCTCACGGCTCTTTTTTCCCCTTTCTCGGCGACTGGGAAGGCAGCAGCCAGAGACGCTGCTGCACAAAGGGAGGTGGAGAGAGGGTCGAGGGGGAAAACCTCACTCAACTTTCACCTTTATCAGACCCGGTCGACCCCCACCCACCCACCCACCCCCTTCACCTCCCGCTACAGATCGACGCTACCCCTCGGGAGTATTTCGCCAGGCTTTTTTTTTTTTTACCTTGGCCCTGCGCTTCTCCCAGATGGAAGCCAGGCAAGAGGACCTGAAAGACGCTGAGCAGGAGGTTCATAGCCATGGCGACGCGGCAGTAGCTGCTCTGCGATGGGTAGCGCAGCCCCGCTGCTGAGGCGGCTGCTTTCCTGTCTGCCCAAGCTGGCTGGCGGAGCTAGTCTTGAGCAGAAATTCTCACTAGTGTCTCGGTTCCTAAGACCATCGGAAATATGTGTTTTTCGATGGTCTTAGGCGACCCCTGTGAAAGCGTCGTTTGACCCCCAAAAGGGTTGCGACCCACAGGTTGAGAACCGCTGACCTAGAGGCAAACAAAATCGCTACTACAAGCCAACATGGGTTTGTCAAAAACAGATCATGCCAGACAAACCTTATTGCATTCTTTGACCAAGTGACAAAATTAGTGGATCAGAGGAATGCTGTGGATATAATTTACTTGGACTTCAGTAGGGCATTTGATAAAGTAGATCACAATCTATTACTTGATAAGATAGAAAAATGTGGGTTAGACAGCATCACCACCAGATGGATTCGTAGCTGGCTGACCGACCGTACTCAGCGTGTGGTCCTCAATGGAACTGCATCTACATGGAGGGAAGTGTGTAGTGGGGTGCCCCAGGGCTCTGTTCTGGGCCCAGTGCTCTTCAACATCTTCGTCAATGATTTGGACGAGGGGATACATGGGGAACTCATCAAATTTGTGGATGACACCAAGCTGGCAGGAATAGCCAACACTCCAGAAGACAGGCTTAGGATACAGGAGGACCTGGACAGACTTGAACACTGGGCGCTATCTAACAAAATGAAATTCAATGGTGAAAAAAGTAAGTTTCTACATTTAGGCAAGAAAAACCAAATGTACAGGTATAGTATAGGGGGTACCTTGCTCAATAGTAGTAACTGTGAGAGGGATCTCGGAGTCCTAGTGGACAATCACTTAAATATGAGCCAGCAGTGTGCTGCAGCTGCCAAAAAAGCCAACACAGTGCTAGGCTGCATTAACAGAGGGATAGAATCAAGATCACGCGAAGTATTAATACCACTTTACAAGGCCTTGGTAAGGCCACACTTGGAATACTGCATCCAGTTTTGGTCACCACGATGTAAAAAAAGATGCTGAGATTCTAGAAAGAGTACAGAGAAGAGCAACAAAGATGATTAGGGGACTGGAGGCTAAAACATATAAGGAACGGTTGCTGGAATTGGGTATGTCTAGTTTAACGAAGAAAAGGACGAGGGGGGACATGATAGCAGTGTTCCAATATCTCAGGGGCTGCCACAAAGAAGAGGGAGTCAAGCTATTTTCCAAAGCGCCTGAAGGCAGGACAAGAAGCAACAGATAGAAGCTAATCAAGGAGAGAAGCAACCTAGGAGAAACTTCCTGACAGTTAGAACAATTAACCAGTGGAACAACCTGCCTCCAGAAATGGTGGATGCTCCAACACTGGAAGTTTTTAAGAAGAGACTGGACAGCCATTTGTCTGAAATGGTGTAGGGTTTCCTGCTTGAGCAGGGGGTTGGACTCGATGACCTCCAAGGTCCCTTCCAACTTTATTATTATTATTATTATTATTATTATTATTATTATTATTATTATTATTATTATTGTTGTTGTTGTTGTTGTTGTTGTTGTTGTTGTTGTTGTTGTCATCGTCATCGTTGTTGTTGCTGTTGTTGTTTTGTTGTTGTTGTTGTTGTTTAATTTTGGAATTACAAAGAAAAATTGGTGGCATTGAAAATGAAGAGCTAATAAATAAGTTCCGTAAGGAAGACTGAGCGATGAAGAATTGATGCTTTTGAACTGTGGTGTTGGAGGAGATGCTTCAGAGTCCCTTGGACTGCAAGGAGATCTGATCACTCGATCCTAAAGGAAG